TTTCTAAAGCGAACGAGCATCAGATTGACGTGGACTTCTTAAATGTACTTATTGAATGCAATCGCCATAGAAACAGTGAAAACATAAGATCTCTTCATCTTTTGGTGACAGTAAAGTGCTGACAGATGGTAGCAAAAACGGTTCATAGCATCCGGTGGTATTTCCGCAGTACTGAAGTAGACTCCCGTGAGACAGGGAAGGTTTGTCACTAAGAAAGACAGCTGCAAGTAGAGCTAAACGAATTTTTCGAAACATTTTCGACTTCCATTCAAACGAATATGGCGATCGCAAGAAAAGGGAACGAAGGGTTTTGGTTATTCTCGCGCATAAAATGAACATGAGCTGTACAATCAGGAGTATAAGTAAAGAACTTAGATTCCTTGCCATCTCAACTACGAAATCACTTGATCTTTCGAATTTCTCAAAACCTGATGATAAACACTTTGTTTAGGTACTACCTTCTCCTGGTGGTTCTACTCTGCTTCCTGCTTCCCGCTGCTATTCCTGTACGATTTTGGGGTGAATCGCCGCTGGTCGCCTTCTACACGGCGTCTCTGTTCCGTTACTGCTTTTTGCTCCACGCCACATGGTTTATTAATAGTGTCGCACACATGTACGTTATCTTTTTGAATCCTATCATTTTTTCTCTTCGAAGATATGATCACCATATTCATGAAGCCACTCAAGCACATTCAAGGCAGGACCTAAGGTCATGCAATGCGCACTCAGCACGTTAGCTTATCTCGTAGCAGCTCTCCGTAGGCACACAATGAGATGAAAGTTGGGTTACTCTAGCATAGCTATTGCGTCCAGACCAGTGAGGCTCCCATGGGAGCGAGGCGCAAACGCCGCCCATGCTGTCAGCGCGCTCGTGATCTTGAGGTTTCTTACGAGGAATGCTCAATGGTCAGTCCGGCCATTTGTAATGAGATGTAGTCCGCTGGACGCGTCTTGCGACGCTGAGCTCAAATCCGTTTTCGTTATCTGCGGAACGATTCTCTGAAAGAAGTTACGAGGGAATCTTCTCACTATGGCTTTTTCACTGTGGCATCCTCTACATTCCCCTATCCCCCACGGTTCGCATAAGAAGAGCCAGAGAGCACCTCACACAGTTGGCCAGTGGCCTAGTGGATATCTCCCCTAGACTCATACGAGAGACAGGATCGGATCCTTAGAACCGCAAAGGTTTTGCATTTTTTCATGGCTTCTCATACGAGCCCAGAAAGTGTCTATATTTGGTTATTTTGTTGATTTGCGTCCCCACTTGACATGTGGCTGAGACAGACTTTGGAATTTCCCTCTCGTCCTTCTTTTTAGGTTTTCTATTATGATGAACTTTGACACACGGGACAAAACACAAGGACACAGGCTCGTAAATATACAAAATTTCAATAACTTGTGAGCATATGTGATAGTTCTTCACATGTGATCAAAACAAAACAGCTTTTCGCAGTGTGCACAGGGAATAAAGAAAGATCTAGGGTGATGTAGAGGGTGCCACAGTGAGAAAGCCACAAAGAGAAAAATCCCTCGTAACTTCTTTCAGAGAATCGTTCCGCAGATAACGAAAACGGATTTGAGCTCAGCGTCGCAAGACGTCCATTGGACTACACCTCATTACAAACGGCCGGACTGACCAATTGACCATTCCTCGTTAGCAATTTTTTGTTGAGCCTACACTAATGTAGATGCAATTCCCAAGCACACATGCCTATTTTGAACGCGAAACACCTCCCTATCCAGTTGGGGTATGTGCCTTCAAGGCCGTTCTCTTTATGGTACATAGGAGAAACCTTGGAAGACCCACCTTCCCTGAAACCCTATCTGTCTCCACTGTCACCTGTTGCATCTGATGAGCTCTTCATCAAGGTATCAGGAGGGTTCTATGGACCTGAATGAACAGCGAGGGTGGGGGCTATTCACGCTTCCGCTTTACCTCGTTCTTTACCATGACTCAACTACGACGCTCTGAAGTTAATGGAACATCGACTCTTCTAAAACGCTGTAACCAGCAATGCCTTTTACTTGCTTCTGTAATTTGTCTTTCTAACGTCACCCATTCCGCCCTGTCGACCTATCCTCGAAATGCTCAGGTTAACCCTGGGAAAAGAGAGCTGAGAAAATGAAGAGCGGTCAGGACTCATGGACCGGAATCCGCAGCGCATTTTCCAGCGCAAGACGGTCCAGGACTCATGTACCGGAATCCGCAGCGCATTTTCCAGCGCAAGACTACACTGATTTATTTCAGGTTCGGGTACAGGCCTTACGACAGTCGTATCACTCCGGTGGAATCTGTGTCTGACGTCCGTGGCGGCAGTCGGTGAAGGCGGGCACAACTTCCACCATACTTTCCCACAGGCAACGTGAAACGGTGATGTTTTTCCTCAACTGGTGAAGGCCCTGAGGATAAGCTCGAGTGAGGAGTATGACTAGCAGGAGAATAAGGGGACCTCGGTATTCTTTCCTATGTAAAAATGAGAATTGCCGAAAACAAGTAGCCACAAAATGCCATTCGCAACGAACATGGGGGCAACTGAGGAATAATGAGGCCAATTTCAGTGGACGTGCTAGGAATAAAATAAGCCATCAGAGCAGTGTGGGTGCGAAATATAAATTTAGTCTTTTCGACTTTTTAGTACAAAAGGCTTATATAAGTAAAGGAATAAATAAATAAATAAATAAATAAATAAATGGGAGACGTGCGAAACCAAAAAACAACTTTGTTAATCAGAAAGAGATGTTCACTTTGCAGTGCAGAAAATTCTGAAATAAGTGGCCGCTAAAGAGAACCTGCGGTTTTGACAGCTAACTAAGTAAAAACGTGGCTGTGCTATAAAGGAGGATTCCATGATAAGGTTGGAAAAAGAAGTAATAAACATGGTCGAAAGGCAGACGGACCCCTCGAGGATGCCCATGATGCGCGTTTCGCAGCGAAAAGTGTAGTGCCCCCAGCGATCTACGTTGCCGTATCGCGGCGTTCGCCAGCCCGACAATGTTAACCCCTGGTCGTCTGACTCTAGGCTGTAAGTCAGAGAGTAGCGGTAGCGTCGAGGTAGAGCCGTCACTGATGAAGAGTGATATCTATCGCAGTCTTTGGTGAAGAAGAGCGTTCCTCAATTTGTCGCGGGATTGAGCTGTTTCTTATGGTTTTTCCTTCATCCCAGACCACTAACCACTTCTACATTGATTTATAATAAGATGTCTTCTCATCGTAAATTATGCCTTCAAATTCAGGACTATCGAGCATCAGAGTACTCACTGAAGCTGAACTGGACATGCATTTTCATCGACATGTTCGCCGCGATTGGTTGGGTCTACGATCGGAAATCCGTGTCAGAGGAGTACATCAAGAGACAATGTGAAAAGTACGGTGACCCAGAAAAACGAGACAAATGGTCTTCATACATGTGATAACATTACTAATATTAGTTGTGATCCCGAACCCAGTGTTAAATTACGCTTTATATTGTGCAGCAGCAGACCATCGGTAATAAGTTCTCATGCCCATGTACATTTTATGTTGTTTATGTATATAAATTTTCAATGAAAATTGTTCTCGAATGCAACCATGTCGACTCGCCGTTCGAACAGCTGAGTTTCCCACAGAACTAGGGAGGAATGCAAATGTTACCAAGTGATCAAAGGAATAGCTTTACTTTACCGGAGAGATTTTCTATTAGCCGTAGTGGAAGCTACTCCGTATTTTCTTACATTTTTTCAACTATTAGGCTTGGTCATAAGTCTTGCAACAAATTACATTTGATGCTAGAAAATTTTTGTGAGAACTCCGAAAATCCGCAACATGTTTGCTTACGTAGCATCCACCTTTGCAATTTCAGCCAACTATCCAGCTCGCTGTCTCGCTACTTGTTGTGGATATTACATTGATTTCGCGAAAAGGTCTTCGTGCGCCTGAAATTTTACGCGTCCTGCTTGTAATATTCCGCAATGTGTAATATTCATGCTACACTAAGGATTAGCCAGAAGATGGGCGAGGGCACGCTCTCTCAAACCACGTGCAACGGCGCTTCACTCTGCTCAGCGTTGACTTTTTTATTTGAAAATAACCCACACTCCAACCACCCTGTGACTGACAATCACGATGCTCTATCTGACGCTGTTGAAAGGGATCTGGATAGAGTATCGATCATTTGCTAGAGCATTTCCGATGCGACAAGGAGACAGCACTGTGGCATCTCCAAAGACTTGTGAAGATCCGAAAATATAGAGTTTGGTCCCACATGCCTTGAGCCCGATTCAGCTCCAAACACGATCTGACACCGTTATGTTCAAGTCGACTTACTATGGATTCTACGATTGACCATCCATCACATTTGCCGAAGATGAGGAGTGGGTACAGTTTACTAACAAATGAACAAGCGGCGGTAGTCTAGCTCAAACGCTTCGGGAGTTCTTACTGCTCAAGTTCAACCTCGTCCAAGTAGGGCCTTCTTGGATTTTTGGTGGAATACGAGAGGAGTTGAGCTTTGAAAACCCTTCTTGTAGATGTCGCAGTCAACGCGAAAGTCAACAATTCACAGCTCGATTGCAACGCTTTTCAAATACAAAAGAAAAGCATGCAAAGTTTGCTTTTTTATGACACCCTTGAACCACCTCTTGCTAAGAAAATTCAGGAAAATTTTGGGACTCTCGACGGAGAGTTCTTCCGTATCCACCTTATAGCCCTGACCTCGTGCCAAAGGATGCCCACCTGCTTCCCTCTCCAGACCACGTCCTAGAGAAGAAATCTCATCCTAACCATCATGATGTCAAAATCGACATCTGATCTTTCTTCGATTAGCATTCAGCGGAGTTCTACAAGAGAGGCATCGAACAGCTTCTAGTGCGTTGGCAATAGGTTGTAGATATTGATGGTGTGTATCATGCTGGATGAGTGGAACAAAAAGATAAAAATATTAAAGTCAAAATTTACCCACCTTTTGCAACAACTTATGGACTCAACCTAAAATATATAGACACAGCAAAAGTGTTAATTATGCTGCGCAGTTTCCATGTTAAATAGTCACGTGTTTACCAAGCTGAGCCGGAAATTGCAATTCTTCTTGTTTAGTGAATTTTTTCCTGTCACTTTGAACAGTTGGTTCCCTTGACCTCTTGATTTCACTACACCTCTACGCAATGACAAGACACTGGAAGGCGCATGCACTGTCGAACTCGCTCCGCGACGCGCTGTGCACTCGACATCCAGCGCGAGTCACGGTTATCAGAGCAGAAGTATCCCGAACAAGATAGCGCTGCTCTGGTCTATCTTGATCCCGGCACTTACGACCTCCTTGTTGAGATTTTTAACGCTGGGTGAAATGCCGAGTAACGCAAGGAAGGTGGACGCCTCGGAGTGCCTTGTGCACTCGGCAGCATGATCCGACACGCTGCCCCGTCCAATCGGGTGCCGGTAAGTTAGCATCCCGCACCACCCGAGGGACTTACAGTCCATAAGCACCCTAGCCACTTACCGCTGGATCTCACACTCGACGACTAAACGAGCGTTGGCTTAGCGTCTCCAGGCCCGGCAGGAAGTGGAACTGTGTAGGACAGACCAGATTAACTCTCTTGGAGATAACATAAAGAGGATCAACAGTACAATATTCTTGAAAGCCGTTTTTCGAAGACCTTTCACCCTCCACGAAAAAGCATACGGGTCTATCCCATAATTTTTCAGAGACCCATGAAACGCCCAGGACCACAAACGCGTGTTGTGGCTCACCCCGCATTTACGATTTGTTAGACATAAGACGCCATACGAGCGCAAGAATTTCCCCCTCAAAAAAGAACACAAAAATATGCATTTATAGCAAAAGGGGGAACATTCAAAACACAGTAACAAGTCATAACAAATGGAAATAACAATCGAACGAGCTAACAAAACAAATCTGGTTGAAATTACAACTAAGTTAACAGAATATACAGTTGTTTTTATTTCCGATATTGTAATAGACGTTGAGAAAAGGTGATCTCGAATACGTGCAGAAACAACGTCAGCGGCTGTTAGATTTATACATCACTAGCGTTACGCAGACAAGAAGGTGCCCAATAAGTACCCCGCCGCGCGGTGAGAAGGCAGAGAGGCAGACGGGTCAGCGGATGAGTAGCAGCGCGTGCTGACGTACTACTGTACATTCTACTTAACTGCGAAATCATTGCAGTACGCGTTGCGGCTCGTTCTCTAACCCGTCTGCGTCTCGACCTTCTCGCCGCGCGAAGAGCCTCCTGTCAGTTACCCCAGACATGGATGAGGTTCCAACTAGTGCTCAGAGTGGCTGCTATTTACCTACCAGCGTTGGTATCTCACTAGAGGGGGAATCGCGGCGCCGAGCACTTGAGGCTTTCGAAGAGCCAAACTTTATCATTTTGATACATGGTTAGTCTCCTTCTTGTACAAGAAAAGAGTTTAACTCTGTGGAAATTCCTTCCCTTGCAATGAATGCATTAATGTTGCTGGGATGAGCCGGCGCTCCCCCCCCCTCCCTTAGTACACCAGCGCCTACCTGGCTAATATGACAACAGCAAATAACTTTAGTACTATCTCAATAAAAAGTGCACAAAAAGAATAGGTAACACATGAAAAAAATTTCAAAAAAAAAGAACAAAGCAACAACTTTAGTCCTTAAAGGTTCATCGTACTCTGGGCCCTTTCCGTATTACTTTTCCACCGCCTTTCTTTCCTTTCAAGGATTTCTTGAACTTCGCTGGAACTTCCTCAGAATCATCAATGTCATCAAAACCTCTGGAACATTCAGTTGGAAACTTCACTTTCGTAAACATTGAAGATGAGAAGTACTGACGCTGCCTTACCGTTTTTTCCCTTTCTTCTTCCTCTCTGCTATCTCTTTAATCTCTTTGACGGCCATTTCATTTGCCTCTTGCGTCCTCTCTACCAGTAACATGACATCTTTTTCTACGCAAGGATACTCTGTCAGCTTCTTACCTATGAAATGACAAATGATATATTCAGAGGCAAAGAATTTTGTACCCAAAATTACAAGCTGATATTTGTTTCAACACACCTATATGGTGCTTTCATCTTTGAATATTACTTCAACGTCATACTGCGAAACAAGAGTCAAGGCGAGTCCAGCCCTTCCCGCACGAGCTGTTCGTCCCACCTAAAGAAAAGCGATAAAATCAAATGAATCGGATTAGATTCAAAACTTCACCATTTTCGAATGCAGTTGAAAAATTAGTAAAAGCTAAAAGTTACAAAAGCACAAAAAAAAAACGGAGCTTCAAATTCAAAAGAAATCAGAAAAGTGAAAAAAAAGCTGACGCGAGACCCGCGCATTTTTTCTTCTATGAGGACTGACAGATTTGAGAGACAGTACTCAAAAAGTTCATTATTTTAGGGCCCCATACAACTAAGAATTACGATACTCTTGTTGTCTTCGGGAGTCGTCGTTCAACGACCGCAGATAATATAATGGCCAAATGATTTGTAACTACAAATTGAGAAAAAAAAGAGGGAAACAAAATGAGGAACGATACCCGCGACACATTGGGGAAGATCTGAATATTTTGTCATGAGAAATCGGAGCTCACACATAAAAACTTAGCTGCAAACATATGCCAATTCAAAAGATTGGGTCAGACAGTTCATTACTTATGTTAGGATGGAACTTTGGAAAAAAAAAACACGTGAATGGTTTGACAGGAGATTATGGTTAGCCATGACATTTCTTCTATAAGAAAGGGTTGGTAAGAATCCCCTTTGGCATGCTTTGGCCAGTAAGGCATATACTATACTGAATTTTTCAAAAATTAAAGCTTTCAAAAGCCATCTCAAAACGCAATTCATCGTAAAAACAGCAAAAAAGGAAAAGAAAACCGAAACGGAGCAATCGGAAGAATAACAGAACATTTCGACAATCTCACCCTGTGAATATAGTCCTTTGATTGAGATGGAACATCATAGTTTATAACGAGATCTACGTGGGGAATATCGAGACCTGAAAAGGATGACATAAATAATTACAATTACTACTACGTCACAACAGCTATTATAATAATTATAATTATCGTCACTACTACGTTACAACACCCGGGAGAAGGTTAAGGAATGTATATAGAAAACAATAGTAGCACTTGCAAAATACTTCCACAAAAAATAATACGTATAAGAAACAAATTCAAGCATCAAAAGTGGTTTTTTTTTTTTTTTTTTTTTTTTTTTTTTTTTTTTTTTTTTTATTTGTTGTTTTTGCTTGAAGTGTATCAACACAACTGACCTCTTGATGCAACATCAGTGCATACTAGAATATCCTTAACTTTACTTTTGAATTTATTCAAAGAAGCCAGTCGTTTCTCCTAAACGATAGCATGGCAGTCATCTGCGTCGCAACAATAAAATTGAGAAAAATTCTTTACCTGACCCATTTGTCCATGTAGTGGCACTGCCTCCATTCCTAGTTGCCTTAAGAGCATTGCAATCTACAATGCAAAGAAAACGAGGATTACGAGCGGGAGAAAATAAGCCCATCAAACGAGCACACATGATTGTAATAAAAGCCCCCAGTGAAAACACACCTGCATAGCTCCATTGCAAGTAGCACAAAAAACGATCGCAGTATTCCCAGCTAGTTCATTCAACAGATATACCAAATAAGCTTCCTGAAGAATCCGTGAAAAAATAGAGGAATATGCTAGGTGAAATTTCCAAATGAATCCTTACTTTGTATTTAAACGGGATGAAAAGGTAATGCTGCCTCAGTTTGTCCACAGTTTTGTATCGAGTAGACACTTCTACTCGAGCTGGATCTTTTAGAGATGCACGTTCTAATTTCGCCACCTGAACCAATGAAGTTTATAAACAAAAATATGAAGCAAGAAAACCACTGCCTATGAGACGCCGATGCCGACTTTTGAAGAAAGGTCCTTGGAGGAAACTGTTAACGAGTGTAGATGCTAGTAACTTCAGGAAACTGCCCGAAATGCGAAACACCCTCGATATCAAGCCATAAATGTGAATCGACAAACGCAGCAGGGTGAGAGATTGAGCACCACATGAATTTTACATCAAAGAAAGGCCAAAACTACAGGAGTAGTGAGGTATGCAGGAGCAAAAGGAGAGAAGAGCAAAAGAGCAAAATTATACCTTTTTTGTCATTGTGGCGGAAAACAGGTACGTCCGTCGATCTTTCGGTATAACCCTCAGTATTTTGTCCAGTTCTACCTGAAATCTCCGATATTAAAGGTCAGCTAATCTTTCGGCCTGAGTTATGTCAAGATAGTACTATAAGTTGGATGAGAAGCTGAAGCAAAGAAAAGATGAATACCTCAAAATCCATATTAAGAATCCTATCAGCTTCATCCATGACAAGATACTTGAGAGCTCGGAGGTTAAAGCCTTTGGTATTCTCAAGATGATCTACTAGACGCCCTGGCGTGGCTGAAAAAGGAATGAATATGAAATTGATGCAGCAACAGCAACTAAAAATGAAAAAAATATCAACGAACCAACAATGATGTGAGGTCCTTTTAGCGAGTGCGAGGGCTTGTGTAGTCATATCCACTCCACCAACAATTACAGCTGAAATACGATACTATGCTTTGATAACGTAAGCAAAAAAAGCTTTTGTAAATATTCAATCCACGACAGTT